TTTGTCGAGGTGACCAAACTTTCGTTCTACTCCTTGTATGCGTCTTTGAAAGTATTCTTGCTATCTCGTGAAGGACACAAAAGACTATTCCTTTATCTTACTTTTACTGCTAACTTCATGGATCAATTGGTCTTTGGAGAGGAAAAATGTACGGATTTTTTTCGGTTTTTCTAAACCTACTGCAACTTTGTGTTAATTTTCCAGCGCTGATTGGTACGTACACTCGTCTACCACCGTTCAACTGGGACAGTCAGCAATATGCTGATTACAGGTCCGTACGACCAATTGTTCGTGAGTTTTTCTTTTACCCATATCTCATCTGGAGCTGCAGCTTCTTCAGTGCGTGATCTTCTTTATGCTGGCCTTCATGGCGCGCTGTGTATGAAAATATCTGTAGCTTTCAAGCTGTAATAACAAAAAGCGTTTTCAGGGCGTGACGTATGATTTATCTGCCAATCCGCTCTAAGATCGCTCAAAGGGGTGACTCGGAAAAATTTCAACTGCGAGCTTTCCATCCCTCCTTGTCCTTCTATGCGCTTAGCAGGACTTTGCTTGAAAAGTCAAGGAAGTGCTTTTTGTGGTGTTCCGACCTTGAAGAGTGCTGGAGGGGCTGGACGAGTAATTCCGCCAACTGAGGCACGATTCGCTGCGTGAGCCAATCAGCCAATCGCCACCAAGATGCTTGAAGTCAGTCTCGTGCAACCCGTTATTTTTGGCTTGAATCTCTCGCCCTCAGCTATCTCCAGGGCCGGGAAAAGGCCATAAAAAGCACTTTGACTTCCAAGCGTAGTTCTGGACTAAGTGGATCCAGAAGGCCAAGAAGTCGCGGAAAGCTTGCAATTCTTCCGAGCCACCGCCTTCAAGTGGCTGCAGCGAGTGGTTGATTTGTTGCACGCGCCACTCCCACACAGCATTCCTTCAAAAGTGATTTTGAGACATCTGCATGAGCTTCAAAGCACAAAATCAGTCCTAACATACGCAAGGGCCCAAGACATGCAAAAAATAGCTGGTGTTTGAACGCCCCTAGGTGATATTGCATAAGAAAACGCCTCTTACGAATTTATCGCCTTCAATTTAGAAATCGCTGGCATGTTTCTTGGACTATTTGTGTTCAAAAAATGGTTGAGCCTTCGTGACACTTTTGTCATTTGTCTCACGATAGCTACACTGGGAGTGAATGTAGTTATGATAGGTCTAGCCTATGTAAGTTGTACTATTGTTTATATCTACAATGTAGTAACAATTTTTTTAGTCATCATGGATGATTTATGCTAGCTTAGCTCCAGGAAGCCTTCACGGTCTACTGAATCCACTAAGCTATTCTTTCCTTTCATGTCTCGTAGAGGGTAATGAAGTGAGTAGGCATTA